GCGCGGGGCCGGGGCCCAGGGGACCCCGGGCCACGGAGAGCGGGAAAAGGATGGACTGCCCGGCCCTCCCCCCCGGATGGAAGAAGGAGGAAGTGATCCGAAAATCTGGGCTCAGTGCCGGCAAGAGCGATGTCTACTACTTCAGGTACCGCCCCAGGGGCGGGGAGGGGCGGCGGGGTCAGGTCGAGGTCAAGGGTCAAGAGTCAAGAGCTGGTCTGGCTGGGGATGACAGGATGAGGGCAAGGGCCCGGGGGATGAGGCCCGAGCACCAGAGTGAGAGTTGACCCCTGTGCAGTGACAGGCACAGTGTTTGAAAGGTGAGGGCCCAAAGGAGGGAGTCTTCTGTTGGAAGGTGTCAGAGGAGGGAAACTGGTTTGCCAAGAAAGGGCTATTCTGGTGGGATGGTTCGTCCACTGAAGGGTTAAAAGAAGGTGTAATTCATCGAAACTATAAAACCCAGTCACTGTTGGCTCCTGTCCCAGCCTGTCCCACATTCATCATTGCAAGAGTGTTTAATCATACACATGTGGAAGAATTAGCTGTCTGCAGTAACAAGGTTTCGGTTACTTCGGTAGAGTCAGGAAAGTTTCATGGGATACAGTTATTTGGGATGCCTGAAGTTTCTTGGAACTCCCTTGATGTTGCAGAACATAGTCTCTTTTGAGAACTGAAACACTGTAGTAAGTTGTTAGACTTACTAACATGTTACCTCCTGACCTCGCCTCCAAAAAGTGTATTGTACATAAGTGAAGAGCAGAAATACACTTTCCAGTTGCCTTCTGGAAATAGATTTCTATTTGTGAATGTGATTTCTTTCTTTTAATGCTTTGGTCAGTTATAGAAGCTTATAGAAGATAGTTTTGTCAGTGTAGAGCATGGTCTTTCCAGGAATCACCAGTAATAGTTCTATACATCTGTTGATATTCTGAGGAAAGATTCTACACATCTGTATTTTCAGGACATTTTCCCCACCTTTACCTTTCAGTTACAATCCTTCTCTTAGCTCCTTCTGAGTTCTATAACTTTGCATACTTGAAGGTAGTTTCTTTCCCCCACAAGTCATTATTTACAGCCCCCTTCCCCTGTTTAAACCTCTCAACTGGGGGCAATTTTGACACCCCCCCCCCAAGACATTTGGCCTTGTCGGGGGGACATTTTTGATTGTCACACCTGGGGAGAGGGTGACTGGCATCTAGTGGGTGGAGTCCAGGGATGCTACTAAATTTCCTGTCATACACAAGACAGCCCCCACAACAAAGAATTATCTGGCCCAAAATGTCACTAGTGTCAAGATTGAGAAACCCTGGCCTAGATGATTCAGGATTTTCATCTTAATGTGATCTTGCAATCATGTGGTCATGCTGCCCATGTTTTTAGTGTGGATGACCCAATAAGCTCGGAAAGGTGTCTGTGGCTATTGATGTCAGTGGAGTTATAAACAAATTTACTGAATTTTCTTGTAAACCATCCATTTATAGAAGGGAATATAAGCATGTTATATGCAGTGGCTGTGGAGGGTGTGCTTGTGGGCTGATTGAAGCATTTTTCAGGCCCTATATTTGAGTGTTGGAGCTGGTTGTTGTCAGCTATTTAGGGAGAAGACTTGCAATAATGTTATTAAGGAGTTTCTTTCTTCAAGTAGGTTAATACATTGCCTTTGGAAATGTATGTTTACACACACAATATAATATTTATGAACTGACAACACTTAAGTAGAACTAAAAGGTTAAAAAATATATATGTATGTGTGCGCGCACACACACACACACACACACACACAAGGATATCATCACTGCTGGTATAAAATGCAAACACGAACATATCCCTGATGGTTGCTCAAATATACGGATGAGTAGTTTCAATAAATTTGTTCAACCTTGTCAAGTGACAAAAAAAAGTGGTGCTGCATTAGAACTTATTTTTTCTCTTGATCCGAGACTCATCTTGAAATCTCAAATGATAAAATGGAAAACTTATTTTAAATATATAAATTTAATAATCTTGTTTTATATTTCCCCATTATTTAATGTTTAATTTACCTCAATAATAATGCTAAGAACGTTATTGTGGAAAAAATGGCCACTCCTCTCAAGTCCCCTTGGTGCTGTTTATTATAACTTTTTCACTTTTGTGTGTTCTTTCATTAACAGCAGGCAGTATGGGTAACCTGCTGTGAACTATGGCTGAGGTTTTGTAATAGGCAATTATATTTGACGGAGAATATTCTGTATGTGAACTTTTTGGAGAATAGGTAACTAGTCTATTCTCAGTAGAGTATCTTAAAGTCTGAATTTCACTCCCTGTGGCAGATCTCCTGGGATATGGTTTGTTTGGTTTTGAGATGACGTACTTGTTCAAACTAACTTTTGGTTATTGCACAGCTTTTTTGTTGTTTTCCTTGTAGTAGCTGGAAAAGTTATTTTGGAAAGTCAAATTACTGTAGTGCCCATTCTGACTTGTTGCTTAGTATTTTTTGGATGTATTGTAAATCTTTTGATGTTAACTTTTTTATACAAACTCAGTGAATATAGTAGGAAAGCTGATATGCTCAATTTAAAACAGACTTTCTAAATAGATTCATCTTAAGGTGAATCACAAACCAGTATAGTGATAGTTACTTGCTTAAATTAGTCTTTTTATGAGATACTGCTGTATGATTTTCTTTTTTCTTGTTTATGCAAAATGGAAAGGACACACATGAACAGATTTGTGTATAATCAGAGCTGAAAGGAGTGTTGTCTGTTATTTTTTATTGACAACCTAAAAGTGTTAGGTACTATGCAGGATTTTATCACCCAGTCTTGATTTTCTTCTACAAGGTTACATTCTAAGGCAGTAGGATACATGTGAGGAGTCCCTGAGTGGCACAAATGGTTAAGCATTCAACTCTTGGTCTAAAGGTTGGCATTTCCAACCCACCTACAGGCACCTCGGCAGACAGGCCTGGTGATCTGCTTCTAAAAGCTCACAACCTTGAAAACTCTTGAGCAGTTCTTCTCTGCACTCATAGGGTCACTGTGAGTTGGCAACTAGCAACAACGACAGGATACGTGTGAGGGCAGTGGTGGTTCAGTGGTAGAATTCTCTCCTTCCATGCAGGAGACCTGGTTTTAATTCCTGGCCAGTGCACCTCATGCATAGCCACCACTTGTCTGTCAGTGTCAGTGGAGGCTTGCGTGTTGCTGTGATGCTGCACAGGTTTCAGTAGCGCTTCCAGACTAAGACAGACTAGGAAAGAAAGCCTGGAGATCTACTTCCAAATGTCATCCAGTGAAAACCCTGTGGATCATCACAGCAGTTCAGTCCCATTGTGTATGGGGTTGCCATGAGTTTCGGGCTGATTTGACAGCAGCTAACAACAGCAGGATACATGTAGCATGATGTGGTACAGTAGTTAAACTGACTTGTGTCTTTAGCTTTCAGTGATTATTTTTCAGCTTTTGGTGTTACTGCTTTACATATTAGTGTCTCCACATACCACTCCACCCTTAAAAAACCAGTAGCTCACAAAACACCTGCCATATCTGTTAATAGGTGGGTTAAGAGTTAACTCTCCGATTGGTAATGTGAACACCTGCACAGATGCTAATAATGCTAATCCCTGAATTAGTTTACCCCTAGGGAGATTAATTTAAACAAATCTGTGCCTGTTAACGTAGGGTGTGGCTGACACTTATTAATTGGGCTGAAATTAAGGGCATGGAGAAAGCCTCACATTTGGTAAAATGTTTTTGACTGCTTCCTGAATCTGCCAAGTTCGAATAGGAAGGCGTGCCTCTGGTAGCCAGTTAAGCAATATAATTATGCCTTCTGTCAGAATTACTGATAGTATTGTGGCAGTTCATATATTATCATCCCAAGTGTGTTTTTAAAAAGGGTGTGGTTTGATAAGGCATTGGATCCACTGGTATAGTTGCTGAGAAAGTTCCTTGCCATCATTTAAACCCATTATTTGAACAATCATTTTCTAACTGGTCTACTTGATGCCTGTTATTTCTGGTGTATGGTTTCCTTCATAATACTTGTAGATTGATATTTTTTGAAATACAGTTTTCCTCTGCATAGGAACCTTTAGTAGCTATCTCGTGCCTTTTTTATCAAGTCTAAATTTGTTCAGTTCTAGATTCTAGTTTAAAGACATGGGAGTCATGGTGAACTATTACAGTTGCTACCATAAAATATCCACTAGTTGGATATTGGAAGCAGAATAGTAAACATTTTTGACTATCAAAATTATGATGCGTTTGCCCCTGAAATATTGTATGTACTTCTGATCCTTTCTCTGGAAAAAAGATACAGTGGAAGCAGAGAACAATTAAAATAATCATAGAGAGCAGGTACATGAACAGAGACTAAAAATCTCTTCTTGATCTGGAAAGAAGAGGACTCAGAGGAAGTGTAATTGAGGTCTATAAAATCGTGAGTGATACTGATAAAAGTAGGGGTCCCTAGGGGAGGCACCCGAGCACAGGGGTTAAGAGCTCACAAGTTGGTATTCCATCCTACCCGTGCTACAACCTTGAACATATCACTTAACTTCCCTGTGCTGTGGCTTCCTCGTTTGTAAAAGGAGTATGATTGCCCCTGTAGCTCACGGGAGTCCCGGAGTGGTGCAGACAGTTAATGTGCTCAGTTGCTCACTGAAAGACTGACAGTTGTGTCCTACCCAGAGGTACCTCGGAAGAAAAGCCTGGTAGTCTACTTCCAAAGAATCAATCATTGAAAACCCTCTGGAGCATAGTTCTACTTTGACACACATGAGGTTGCCATGAGTTGAAATCAACTAGATGATAACTGGTTATAGCTTATAGTGTTATACAGATTCAATTCCAGAACACTAAAATAAATATGTAGATATCTTGAAGCTTTAGATCAATTTAGGATTAATTAAGGGAAATAATTCCTTAAATAACTCCAATTGTATGGGTTGAACATATAAATAGGATAAAAATATAAAGGTATATACCATTTTTTACTGAAGGCTGGTGTGCTGCTTTGAAGGCATGAATTCTGAATCATGGAGGAGATCAAATTTCAACCATGCTTTTTTTTTTTGCCTTGGAGGGGAGTGGGGGAGACTCTCCCATGTATCCTTTGTTGGAGAAAATTGGCTGAATGGACCAGGGGAGAGATCCATTATAACAA